CGGTCCGGTCCGGTCCTGGTCTTTGTTTTAAATTTATCGGTCTATTCCGGTCTGGATTTTTTGATTTTAGCGGTCCGGTCCAGTCCTGGTCTTTGTTAAAATGTATCGGTCCAGTTCGGTCTAAAAAAAAAAAACGGACCGTGCAGAGCTCTAGTACTTACATATTTGTTATACAGTATTTTTTCCGCCTTACCGACCGGTTAAAAAAAAACCAAATATTGTTAATTATATAGTAAGTTATAGAAAAAATTACAATTTTTTAATATTTAACTAACTACTTAAATGGAAACGTTTTCACTACTTCTAACGATGAGAACTAATATTTTGTGTTTTTGAGCCTTAAACCATAATCCCCAGTACATGAAAAAGTAATAATGATGTCAATAGAAAAATGAACAGAACTTTGTCGAATGGGGTTATTATATTTTAAAAACTTGACCAGCTTTGTAATTAGGTCCTAAATAATATAGAGTAGTACTTGATGTTTACTCGATCAAATCCCTCCCGCGTATTATTTCTGTTTACTGTGATTTATTAATGTTTTCATTCAAATCATCAGGGCCGTCTTAGGCTATTTAGGGGCTCATGGACACCTGGAACTTTTTGAGCCACTTTTTATTAAGCAAAAAAAAAAGTTAAATAAAACCATCAAATGTTTATTTTGTATGATAACTTTTGTATAGTCGGGTGACATAGGAAATTCATTTTAAAGAAAGTTTTGTTTAAATAATGAGATAAGAAATAAAATATACACCAAGCAAATAATATCATTTACATAATTAAAAATAATTAAACATTCAATATTGAGCATTAAATGGAAATGTAGAAGTGTAATTTTATATATACATAATAATAATTTTAATTGTATTCATTGTTTTTTCAACAATGTATAAACAAAAATTAAATTCAAAATTTGAATTGCAAGACAATTGATTTTTAAGTCATAGGTAATCCGAAAACTAAATTCCCTTACCTCGTGGGAATTATCACGACCCTACTATACAGGTATATAGGAAAAATATTAGATGATTTTATTTTATGAGAGGTGTGCGTGTATGCGTGTATATATCTTTACATGTACGTGTGCTTGTCTTTGTGTATATGCGAGTGCATATATGTGTGTACGCGTGTGTACACGGTACTTATGTGTGTGTGCATTCGCATGTGCGTCTGCATGCGCGTGTATGTTTATAAGTGCGCATAAATATGACATTAATAGGCTGCCCGTGGATACTATTTAATATTAATTAACTTATTAAACTTACCCTGTTGTCGAATATGTTTTGTCTAATACGTGCACTAAAATGCATTTCATGTCGATGAACGATTCATTGTTGATTGAATAATTCATCGTTGTTGTACAGTGAAGTCAAATCTGAACGTAAAGTTCATTTGAAAGCGCATTTTGAGCTTTGAAGTGGATCGATTAGAAAATAAACTTCTTTACAAATAATATAATTTACAATATAAATTTTAAATACATTTATTTTATTTTATTGCGTCATCAACATTTACTTATATTTGACGATAGATCGTAATTGATATATCCTAGAAACAGTGTTTTAAAAACAATAATTCATATCAAGTATTAATTATTTACCTATTATATCCGTATATATATATATTATAATTTATTAGTAATAACATGGATGAATTCATAAAACGTTTAAAATGGGTTCATTAACCTTCCTATGATTACTTACCTCTTTATGCCCCATATGTCTTATAAATAAAAAATACTTTTGTTATTTTTACAATGATACAATGATAGTAAATTGAAGAGCTCAATGTAGTGCATATACTAATGGTGAATTGTAAGAATTAGCAAGAGCTATTTATAAGGGATCTTCATAACAAATATACCAGATGTTTATTCGATTTTCATAGTCGAATGCATGATGGTGATATATTGTACGAAGAAAATTTGCACTCGTGTAAGAATTAGGTGCATATAAGATATTTCATCTGGAAAATCGCAAAGAAAGTCGTTATACTGCACAGTAGAGGATGGCATAAAAGGCGTCGGTCGATAAAAGATCTTGGTTAACGGATATCGAATATCCCGAGGTTTAGATTTTAGATGAAATGTTTTGTACACATATAGACAATATTTTCAGAACGATACATCCATTTGGAGTTCTAAGGATTTTCCAAACGAAGTGATGAGAGGAATTTTAGACAAAAGTAAAATATTGTATTGATGTGATCACGTTTTAGTCTCTCTTATGTTTGTTTGATGCAATTTGATATAAGAATTTATTTATAATGTTTTACTAACTTAGTACAACTGTCCATTTTTCATCACCTTCTACTGAATTCGTTTTATTATTTATTCGTACATTGTTTTAATCTATTAATCCTTCGTGACGACCCTCGCACAAACTTTTTATAATACTTTTATACTCGGCCTGTGATTACGTCAATAATGACAGTTCATGTTGATTGCTAACTGACCATTTGAAAAGACAGTATCCTGATCTTTATTTCTCTCTTCCTCGATTCTCGACTAAATATCATATACGTCTTTTAATATATTATTTGACACGTTGTCGGATCTTAAGAATGTACATTTACAATCCTAAATGTGATATTACTAGTTTCATAATATATCCCCGATAAGAACTGTACTTTTATACCCCTTGGAACTTAATATATATGGACAGTAAATATTATTTAATATGCGAGTACTGGATTTTAGGGAAAGAAATTTGTTTTTGTTCAATTCTGAAAAAGCGTCCAAATAATGAAAAGAAAAAGAAATTACTCCATTAGAAAAAATAATACTTATAGTTTTCAATTATGCGTACATATAAATGTTGTTGTAAATGTAGTTAGACTTTATTTTTGTATAAAAGTTTAATTATGGAATTTAAAATGTACCATGTGTGTTAATTAACCAATGTGAGACATATATCCAAATCGTAATTAAATTGTTGATTACTTTTTTCTAGGCATTTTTTGGGTGTGCAAATTAAATGGCCTGCAGTCACGTAAAAGAAGTCAGTGGATAACTGGTACAGTTCATTTGCAGCTGCATCGCGTTTTTCCGTCAGTCGAATAGTTTGCTTTGTAGATTTAAAATTTTTCCCCCTCGAAATGTAAAATACACACATATATCTATACAACACATGAATGTGGACATTGTTTTGCTCATTACGAGTTATCTCTACTGCAGTTGTTTTTTTTTTTAATTTAAACGTTAATTTTTTTTTTGTTTAATGCGCAGTGTTTCAACTTTATTTTACATAAAGTTATGCATAAAAAACCACCTCGATATTAGAATCACACAATAATAAATTAATATTATTTTATGTAATATTAATTCCAAAATAATGTAATACCACCTATCATTGTAGGTATGTGTATTGGATATATATATTCTGATTACAAAATGCCAAAAAAAAATTTTATCGACTCAATATTCATATTTATTTGAGCGTTTTAATATTTTTCCATAAACATGATGACTTTAAACGGCTGTAACACGATTGCGCCCATCCTATCTTTTTACATAAAAATAAACACAACACGTCTGTGCCCAGCTAATTAGCTCAATAGCACCCGGTTTTACCTTTTTACCTACAAAAAAGACAACAAAATTTCGCCCAGCAAATTAGCTCGATAGCGCTCCGTGAAATGTAAGGTCTTGCCTTTCTAACAATTATCAAATATACTATTTAAAAATACAGTCGGAGTGTAAAATTCAAAGTTTAAGTTAGGTAAAAAGGTCATGTAAAAAGGTAGGACAGATGCAATCGTGTTTCGCCGCTTTAAACATGCATTAGGTTCGTGGTATTTCTGGTAGTGTTTAGCGTCTTCAATGAAAGTTAATGCTTCATTGTGAATTTTTTTTTAATTTGCAAATCTGCATTCAATGTTGGTGTAACTTATGTTTATTTTATTTTTAAATTATTATTTTTTTATTATTTGTTTTTTTTATTTATTTTTATTTTATGTTTATTTTATTTTATTTTATATTTTATTTTATGTTTGCAATTTATGTTGGCGCAACTTTCTTCCATAAGAACCTTCTGACAATAACAAATACAAAAAAAAAAAAAAAATAATTAGCGAAATTGGTCCAGCCGTTCACGCGTGATGGCGTGACTAAAAGAAATAGGGATCCCTCAAAATTTAAAGATAGATAGATAATAGGATAATAGATGTACATACAAAATTATGAAACCAATAATATTATGAAAAACAAAATATATAAGCCAGATATAAAAGCATATTATATATAAGTTGATGACACTTTCATTTTATTTAGAGGTTTAAATAGACAAGCAGAAAATGAAG